GACACAACAGTGAAACAAAAATATTTTGTATTCTTGAAACTACAGAAGCTTAAAACTGGTTCAATCCGCGAATGACTCCTGCTGACGATATTTGTAATGAACTAATAAGAAAGCATTCAGAAATTCAGTGATGAAATTAGATCATTTAAGTTGACTTTTTATAAAAATAAATAAAATATACATAGTGTAGGTGGGAAAAATAATTGAACCTTGCCCACTTCCTCATTTCGACTGCTTCAATTCAGTGTTTGTAGTGATTTATTTTACCTTATTTTCTAGTTTATATTATTTCTAATTTAGTTTAGTATCTATTCTTCAATTTTACTTTAATTTGAAAGAATATACATCAAAGCGATGACAAAAATACAGTAAAATGACAACAGGTGGTGTCAGTTTTTAATATGTTCTGAATTTTACTTCTAATTTCGAAATACTGACAAAAAAAAAAAAAAAAAAAGACGGATTCATCTTCATTTACAAATAAATTGCAAGTCAGTGTGAAAATAATTTGAGCAAGACGAGTCAGATAAGGTGCTGAATTATGGCTAACCTTTAGCCTTCACAAATTCCCTGTCACAGTTCATCATCAATTGCTGCTTTCGCCAATAGCTCAACGATCATGATTGCGTTATTGATCCGCCCCCTGTACTAACCTGACTGATAACAAACAGTGGTAGTATTTCAGTCTTCAAAATTTATCATTTTTCGCATTGCTCTTCTCTGCTGCGTAGTATTGCACCTCAATTACATCCTAGCTTTGTTATACTCTTTAACGAACCGTAGAAGCAGAATGACGGTTCCCTTCACCCTTCCTCACCCCATTAGTTACAAACAGTTGCAGACAGGTGTCACACCACTGCTTTCATTGCTGAGTCTACATTCTGCACAAACCAGACACTAAGAACCCTCCCTCCCGAAGCAGTACCACATGCATCCCCAGGCCTTTTTCAACAGGACGATACCCTTTCCATTTTCCCTATTGCGCAGATTGCGCAATCCTCACCTCTTACAAAATATATTGAAGCGGTAAATCTTGGCACCCATCCAAAATCCGAAAATATTTCAGTTCGTAGTGGTCGACTGGTTCGTTGTGATTGTGTGGTTGTTGGGAAAGGTTTGCGTTTTCATTCCTTTGAGGAATATTTTACTGTTTGGCTTTCCACGTGGTGGTTTCAGGCTCTTGCTAGTGTCTCAGATGGTAACACAGGAGCAGGTTCTTGCTGCACCAAAGATAAATGTGCGACGTTTTGTTGAAATTATCACTTCACCCGTATTTCCAGAGCAGGAATCTAAGGAATGGGTTCTTCAACATCAGAATTTCGCCATTCAAGTAATTTTCAGTTTTCTGTCATGGAAAGAACATTTTTGAAGTTACTACCTATGCATTCCGTTACTGGGGCTTTCCGAATGAGTTTGCTAGTATTTATCTTTACAATTCATATAATAAACAGCTAGTCAGGGATTTTATTGATGGTGACAACATTTTATCATATTTCTAAGATATGTTTTTTTTTTAATAAGATATGTTTTAGGCGTGCTTTGCATACTTTCTTGTTATCTTTGGAATAAAATATGTTGTTATGCGAAATCGGGCACCGTTTAATTTGACATTACCGCTGAATATTTGGAATGCACTTCTTGCACTGTTCAGCATTATGGGGACTGTTATGCTTTTTCCAGAATTCATTGGTACTATTCAAAATAATGGCTTCCAAGGTTTTTTTTATCATTCTTATGATTTCAAACATGGTTGGAAGTTCAGCTTTTAAATGTTTCTAATATAAATTACAGCGTAGTTTTGCGAAACTGCAGAGAAGTGTAGTTATCCAGTGCATGTGATTTGGTATAAACTGCTATAATGTGATTTTTTTTTTTTTAATTTCAGCTTCCTACTGTAAAGTTTACGGTTTCACCAAGGGATCGAACGGTTTCTGGGGTTGGCTGTTCATTGTATCAAAGCTGTTCGAATTGGCTGATACCGTATTTCTGGTTTTGCGAAAAAAACCACTCATGTTTCTTCACTGGTACCACCACATTCTTACACTTATTTATGCTTTCTACTCGTATCCGCATACTCCTGGATTTAACCGTTGGGGCATTTTCATGAATTTCTTCGTACATGCGTTTATGTACAGGTATGTTGTATTCTTGTAGTTAACGATCTTTATTTTTATGCATTCTATGTAGCTGATTTATTTTCCCCTATTTCTAGTTATTATTTCCTGTGTTCCATGAAAATGCGGATTCCACGCCGTGTCGCAATGTTTATAACATCGCTTCAAATCCTTCAATTTGTGCTCAGTGTTTTGATACTTGCACACCTTGGAATACTAATTTATGTCAGGAAGGTTTGTTACTTTTGGTTCATTGTAATTTTCAAATTGAAATCATCTTTTTGATGCAAGTTTACATCACTTGTTTGTTGTACACTTTTCCAAATTTAAAATAAGAGTTTTTTAGGTGGACTGTGATTTCGATGACAGCATTTTCAAGTTAGCACTCTTCATGGATATTACTTATTTGATTCTTTTCGTCAATTTTTTCTGCAAAGCTTATGTATTCGGCGGTGGTAAATCGAAATACAAAATTGACAAAAAGAAACAGTAAAAGGCTTTTTTAGTGTTGCTTGCAACTGAATTACTAATAAATTCTTTAATAAAAAACGGTTAACGTTTTTTTTTTTCACTTTGCAATTGCAAACCCAAACATTTTTCTCAACACTTTAAATATACAGTTAGTAAATTATTAGGAAAACTCTTCCCATTATATTAAATATTGGTTGTGCTTATATTGCTGGTGTCTTGTAATATTGCTTTGTGATTGTTTGTTAATTTCTCTTCCTTCGTTCATATTGTACTTCTGCATCGTACAGGTATATGATACAAAAACAGGGTATATGATATGATACTTTTATTCTGTTCTTTATTGTTTTGAAATAATATAGCCAAAGGTCGTCTGGAACATGGTCATAAACTGGCTTCGAAGATTACTTCTTTGTAATCATTTTCTAGTATATTCTTTTTGATATTCGATGTGGCCTGTAGTCAGTCTTGGGAAATCTCCATTCTGATATTTATAAAGACGGCCAGTGTGGTATCATGATCGATATTAGGACCATATACCTCTCCATAGCATTAAAAGCTTTTTGATTTTGAATATTGGAACATCATTTTTTTAAGTGGTAGTTATGCAGTCCTGTTATTGGTAATAAATCATTTACGTGTTATGCGGTACAATCAAGTTTGCTAGAATTTGACAGGCTACTTCGAAGTTCACGAATTTCAATTTATTTATTGTTAAAACGGGATTACAGTGTGGCGATATGTATGGAGAACGGAAATCCTGAAGTCGTTTAATATAATCAGTGATATATAATTAATAGGTTAGTGACTGGACATTTTTATGGCTTCATTGTTATTTGGTGGCGCTATGTCCGTGTTTCTGCTTATGGTTGCTGTTGTAGTACAAATTACTCGCTGTTTCGCTTTCATATCATTTGTCTGTAAGTAGTTGAAGAATTTCAGCACACTTGTAAAATAAGAATTGTAATCACTAGCATAAAGGATGAAAACTTTTCAGGGTAGAAAGTCCATCAAATTATTTGGATCTTTGTCCGCAAATCACGTAGTATGTGTTTGTACGTTCAGAAATATAGAAATTTACTGACTTTTTCGAGGTTCTTCAACGTATGAGAAGACACATTGTTAAGGGGCTTAAAATGATTGATATAGAGAGAGGATGTCGTGAAGAAAAGTGAGCCGATAGCATTAATAAGGTGAATTTGGATAATGAAATACTATTGTCGATATATCCTTTCCTTGTTTTGGTACTGATGGATAGATTCAGCCATGTCTGCATGGCACAGTTAGTAAGTAACTTTGGGTTGCAGTTATATATTTTTGCGGACGTTCTGTAATATAAAATCCATGGTAATGAATTTAAAAAATATCTTGGGGACCTGGAAGAAGGTAATAATTCTATTTTTAAAACCTTTTGTTGCAGCAAGAAATAGTTGATGATTGCTATACAAGGAAGCTTTTTTCGTAAATGAAGTAACTGAAAATTTCCTGATTATGGAGCTCGGAATGCAATTGGGAAACACATTTCAGAAGAAATCTGTGCGTGAATGGAATTCCTTGTCTTTTTCACGACTGCTACAAAATCTGAAATGCAGTTAAAGAATTTTGGCCCTTTGAGTGTAAAGGAATAAATTCTGCCATATGGTATCTATTAAACCAGCTGCAGTATTTCCAATAAATGTTACGTGTGAATGATGGATTGTGAAAGAAGCTTGATTTTTACTTCTAAGTGGAATGAAAAAGCATCTAATCCTGCAATGCGGATGGGCAGCAACTTCATTATAGGACAGCAATGACACGACACTATTACAGTACATTGGAAGCCATGATGACCCATTTCTACCGTAGCACTCGAGATCGTAGTGCACTATACTTAAACACAGAAGTGACATAACCAAATTTAACGATAGCAGCGATTCTTCGTGGAAAATTGACGCTGAATAGAAATTTAGTTGATCGTTAATTTTTTTTTATAAATTTAATCAGTTGTTAATTTGTAAAATACTTAATATATGTACGAATTTTTCGGACGAATCCAGGGTAATGATTCAGCACCTGTCTCTTAATCCTTGTAAGTTGCCGTCTTTTATAGATTTGTCTGCAATAACGGGTAAGGATGACACTAACTCATTCTTGCTAACGCATTTATTGCCCTACAAACATGCAGGACGTCCCAAAATTTTACTTCAAGCCACAATAGCCTAAACTCTGGACCGAAACACCCAAATTACTCAAACTCGGGTAACTGAACCTGCGACCCTACCTGCATCATTCCCGTATAGTTGCTGTACATTCAACATTCATCAGATGTTTTTTTCAGCAAACGGATCAAACATAAAGCGCTATGATCGATTTTTGATCACTGTATTATTGCATCCACTGCAGTTATTCCATCAAATATTGCGCTACACATCGGAAACATGTCTACAACACCTGGGATTCCCAGGCCGTCTCCGATCCAAGTACTAACTAGGCCCAATGTTGCTTAACTTCACAGATCGGACGAGATTTCAACATGGTATGGTTGTAGACCATCATTACAGATATGTTCAAGCATACATCACATTCAACCGATTGGTTGTGGCATACATTTCGAGGACGATTAAAACTTTTACTTCAAGCAACAATTGCGTCCAAATTGTTATTCAAGAATATTCAAATTGTTAAATTTACATCATTATTTTCAACAATCATTGAACAAAATACATAATTGAAAGATTTACAAATAAAAAAAAATTTCGATCTTCATGCATTCAAAATAATATATAGAAAATTCATAAATAAGCAACACAACAACACCCCGACAAGCCACACAACTGGCGACCACTTGAAAACTTCATCAGCTGTTACCTATAAAATCTTTTTCTACTATAGGCCACATAAAGTGATTGAGATTTCTGCAGTTTCATTTGTATAAAATGTAAAGTCTTGGGAAATTTAAACGTTTCAGACAGGTAGAGATAACTCGATCGTTTGTAGTAGAAAATATTTTAAAATTAAGGCAACAATGCAGCTATGTTGAGAACTGGAAAGTAGTGAAATTCTGGAACTAACCCCAGTTTCATAAAAATGAATAAAACAGTAAAAGTGAAAAATACGCCAGCCAGTATAATCAGCTTCTTGATATCTTCATAACTCTTTGGCATAATCTTGGAAAAAGGAAGTATTCAGTTGTTGGATACTATTGAATAAGGCTTTCAGTTTAAATCTATTTATTAAAATTAAATAAGTACAGTCAAGTCTAGAAAGAGACAAGCCTCTGATTATATTAAACTAACATAGAACTGAAGGAAGATGTTCAGAAATGCAATTTTGTGAATATTACTGGCACAATTGCCTGTAAAGAAATGCAAATTCTCATTCGTAACAGTGATTGTTTTCATATAAGGTTATATATATTTCCATCCTACATAACGGTCTACCTCACTATAACTTAATTTGAGATAAGGGAGCTGTTCACCATTCCACCGATTTACATTTTCCTAGTTAGTACTGTTATAATTCCTATTCCCGTTATCACTACATGAAACTGATTTGTCTTTCGTTCTCCTCTTCCGTTACACTTCCTATTTCCCTGCTTTAGTCTCTCCAATCCTCTTCTTTTACGTGATTCACAACAACGACAAGTGGACAACGAACACTTAGGCAATTCTTACACTGGAACTGTCTCATTTCCAACTTCAGCAGGAATTTTTATGAGCTATTAACAGATGAGTGTCAGCTTCTTATGAGGAAACTCAATTACGTCACTATAAATACAAAATATTTGTCAATACAGTTGTTATTTGAGCTCTCTAAATTAGTTGTTGCGTATCATTTATATCTGTCTCCCTTATTCATATATATAAAACAGAAGTTATAATTTGAAAGCTGAAATAAGAGCAGAAAAAACATGCACTGCAAAAATTTCTAAGAATTATAATAAGCGAATGTAAGTGAAGAAATTAAAGCTAGATGGTTTCTGACATTTTTAAAGTGACCAGAAATTTTATTTAGTTTTTTGTTTTTATTTTTATTTGCTTTACCTTTTTAAATTTCCTAAAAATTCTATTTTATTCAGTTTTTAAATTTTATTTAATTTATTTATAATACAAAAAGAATGAGATTTAGGATCATATGACTAGAGTTAGAAAGCACTTTTTTTATAGAATTATAATAGATGATCATGGCGGAAGTTACTTTTCAAAATTAGTATAAGAAGAGTAGCTAAAAGGCGGGAAGACAATAATACCTTTGTCCTTCCAAACCGTAATTACTTGAAAATTCATGGCTATCAACATTATCATGCATAACAGCACTAGAATACTTGGTACAAAAACTTCCAAAACTATGATTTCACCAATAGTCGAGATCATTTGTTTCGCACCTAGCTCATTTGATTCATCATTTTGCAAATTACGGTACTATTCCCCAAATCCCAAAATTTCATTTGTAAAACTGCTTTACTAAACCTGTCACTTTTTGCTGTTCCAACCAGTTTCTGAAGTCAGAATTAAAACTCTACCACATCTAACACAAATAGTGAAAACGAAGACTCATTAGATGGTCAGCTGAGAGCTCATTTTAAGAATTATTTCAAAATCTAAGAAATCTTGTCGTGAATTGTTCTTAATAGGTTTCCCTAGTTAGCAGCATTCCACTTTTTTTTTTGCCTTATGATAACTTGCAAGTGATTGGGCAAAGTGCAGAAAACATAGGAACAGTTTTTGTTTTTCTTAAAGGTTGACTGATGCCTATTTGTAAAGCATATATTTTAGCTTGTTGAGAAAGTTGGCCTTTTTGATTTTCACTGCAATTCCCGCACTGTTGAAAAGTTGTTTTTTCTAAAAATAGGAAGGATATCTTATAAATATCAAAAAAATATAATTCCTTAGAAGCAAAATATATATTTCTATGTCAGTGTTTCTCACAAAATTAAGTAGAAAAAAAATTAATGTGCTTCAATACGGTAACTCATCCTGCATGTGTAACGCTTTCGGCTTTACATATACGTATGCGTGGTAGAATGATAAAATAATGCACGTTGACAGCTGCTTTAAAAAAATTTATGTGGAAATAAATCCAAGCATGGTTTTTGTGGTTATCGATTGTGAAAAAGAGTTTCGGTGGTAATTTGATAGTTTTAGTTTACCTATTTTTATTGTTAGTCACTTATTAAATGATTAGGATGGTATCCATGAAACAGCGTCCGTTCAAATTTTCTCAAACTGATTGGTGAGAAGGATTGTTTTATTGCTTGTTGCGTCGCACTGCACATAATATTGTTTGCTACTAATTCGCTGATGAACTGTTCTTATTTATTTCATTCAGTATTAAAATTCGACCTTTGATTTGAATTTTTTTTTTCTACTGCTTTTTTTCTCCTATTGCTTAGAACAAACTTAATAACTGTCGAATCGAAATCCACTCTTTCACAGTCAGAATTTCCACATATTCGATGAAAAGCTGCACATTTAGTGCATTTATGATTCTTTAGCAGTGTTTGAAATACCTTGATCATTATAATTCCACTTTGACACGAGATTTCACTATCTTTCTGCTCTACAAATTCTTAACAAAGAAAAATAACACACTGATGGATTTTAGCCTGCATTCAAATACATGAATATGACTGTCATTTGAGGGAAGTAACTAGGGCTATCAGCGTCACATCAACAGGATAAGAAGGTTTAAAAAAGTAGATTGAAATAGAAATTACATCAAGAAAAATGGATAGAAAGTTGTTGTTGTGTTTTGACGCATAGTATTTCACAAATATTGCTTTTTCATTTCATAAAAACATTAACGGTTTCTGGAAGTCGTAGTATGACTTACTCGTTGTCTAAGGAAATGCTCCATACTTTTTCGTTGACTTTTCCTCATTCTTCTCTTTCTCTCTCTACGTTCCATTTCTTTATTTGTTTATGTCAGTACTATTTACCACTAAGAAACACAGTCGATAATTTTTTTACAAGCACGCAAATATGTAGCGTATTCACTTCCTTCAGTTAATTTTAAAATCACTGAAATAAGCGACTGTTAGTTGTCATAGCTTGTCACAATAACTAGGATTAGTCGTAACGAGCAATTTATTACTTGACTGCTCACTAACATGAGCATTGGACTTATTCCTTCATATATATATATATTGAAAGAAATAAAATGATCCTATATAACATCAGGTAATCTTGAAATTATTTGGGAGAGCAGGTGGACAAGAATTTCAAGGGCAATTTTTATAAAGAGACAAAGCTTAAAAACTGAACCTTTTAGGTGGGGATTTTCCTTGTTACAACTTCCATCCCCCGCCCACAGGAAGCTGAAGGTAGTAACAAGTATTCTCAAATGAATTTTTGTAGATCAAAGGATATATAGTTTTGAGCGGAAGGCAATTGGGAAGGATTTTTCACTTCCTTAGAAAGTTTATTGAAGGAAAAATACTCAAAAGGTGGTGAGAAAAAAGAAAATATGGAGCTTCCCCCAGCGTTCACTAATGAGACGCCATAAATGCTTAGGAAATGTGCATTCTAGTCATGGTAATCGTTTCAACACCTAGATATGAAAAGGCCCGCAGCCTGGGAAACAGGTTACTGTAGAATGGAGTTTTAAATTAAGTTTTGGAAATAAATTCAGTAGGTTTTGTGTTCCAGTGCTTTCAAGGATTTAATTGATTTCCATGTTTTTCAACTTTTTTTTTGGATGGGAGGGAGGGTAAAATAGTGGAAGTATCAAAGCTGGAACTCATTTATCTATAACTAAGTTCCAGAAAAAAAAAGTATCATGATACCATAATCAAAATTATGAAGGGATACTATAAAGATAGCGAAATCCAATCCGCGGCAGTTTTTGAAAAATTTGCAATGTGTTCCCCGAATAATTTCCAAACAAGTGCATACGTTGTTAAATAGAACATTTCATTAAAAATACTTCTAATGAAAGATCTTCTGAAATTATGACTCTGCCACCCCAGATTATCTTACCTTAATATTTAGTGGTAGTAAGCGCCCCACAGCAATATGGGAAAGAATGCCGCAAATACTGCATTTCATATTTCCTATAATGAATAGAAGCTCTTAATTTAAGACTACAAGTTATAATCATTATCAGTTTAACTAGCATAAGAATAAGAAACAAGCATCACTGGGACAAATCACTGCCATATATATATATACAAAAGCTAAAAGACAAAAGTGCTAGATTTAAAGAAATCATAATAGAAATATATGAGATAATTCGTCGTAAAAATTTCGCAACATCGAAGCCGTTCGTAAAACCCTTCTCTAGTTTTGAAACAAGCAGCAACGAGATTACATTCTACAGGAAACGCTGAAGTTTCTACACATAAACATATGCGAATGGTGCGATTAACACCCATTTACCAATATTATTTTTGATATCGGATAAGCCCGCAACGCACTTACACACCATATACTTTTTGGGATATAACAGTAAATAACATTATTAACAGCATTCATCTCATAAACACATGATTTTCCATTTTGATACGGTGCGCTGTAATGAAATCTATCTGTTAAATTTTACCTGTGTTATTTTGGACTAAGTTTCAATTAAGTTGCCTTATCTAAGCCTGATAGGAGGAATTAAAAATCAGTCACATCCTTCAATTTGGGTCTTTGAGCATAAATCATTACAGCATTATATACACATTTTCACACGTTAAACAATTATGCTAAGTAAGTTTTGTATATGTTATCACAATTAAAATTCAATTTCATGTTACCTACCGTAAAAGAAAGCATATGTGTGAAAAATAGTGGGAAAGGAACAAGCCAAAACAGTGACTCTGATTTTACTGATTGTAATCACAGAAAAAATGAATGTTGGTTAATCTGCATTTAACAGTTATTGTCGTTTATGTAACTCAATTGATTGAAATCGGTCTTTATACTTTGCAAAGAAATACCTCCAGAGCACGTATTATAAAAGCAAGCAGAAGAGCCATAACAGCGAAAGTAGATATAATGTTGTACAGTGATTTCAGGTGCAGTGATTTTTCATAGCATTTTCTGATTTGCTCGGATAATGAACAACTACTAGCAGCCGAAGCATAAATGCATCGATTTGTACAACATATCTTCTTCTTCTTCTTCTTGACTGATAATATCAACCTACAAATGTATCTTGACAATTTCTCAATATTCATACCTTTATTTCAACAAAAAAAAAAAAAAAAAAAAGAAAATGAGAACAATGATTAATCGAAATTTATAGTTTAAATCGCAACAAACCGTTTCGGAAATCTGACTGACTGCAGATTTCCTCGACCACGACATAATGAATAGCTTGAAGATGTGTAGAATCGGAGTTTCATTATTTTTTTTGCCTTTCTAGGTTCCACGTTTAACAGCCACTCTTTTCCTGGAGTAGAAGTCATCATAACAGTCAATTTACAGATCTGTCATAACTATACACATTATGTACTGATATCAAATTATCATTACAAAAGATATCTAAAGTGATTATTTATGAACATTATAATAATGAGTTAATATTTATAATACAGTTAGGTGCATCTGGCAGAAATATCACCCTATAGTGAATGATATTACTGGCAGTAGTAAAGGTCTCACTTCATATTATGAATGATACGATGATGAATCATCCAAATTGTCGTAAAAACGACACATTTAAATTACATTCAAATTCTAATACTTTTTGCCAGATGTCTGATAAGTCGTTCACTAAATAATTTCGCATTTGTGACTAATCTATGTCTAGATCATTTAAGCCATTATGCTAATTACTTCCTTTTTCTCACACAATAAAAAACCCCTTATTAGCAATCTTTGTTTCATATCAGTCAAATGTTCTCTGCCGGATATCCGGTTGTCAGTTCAGTTCTGTATATAAACTAACCAACCATCCTCCATTACGGTTGTTCATTCTTCGTTTTAGGGTGGTTTTTGATATTATTTTAGTGTTTTATAATTATCTTTTATCTATTCGTTACGCTTTGTTTTAATGTTGATTTGTTGGTTTAATTACCCAAGTTTGAGGCAAAATAAAATATCTGGCAGTCAATACATTTGAAACCTGAAAGTTTCTGATGTTCACAAAGATAAGGAAATTACCCATTAAAAGAGTTAAAACTAAAGGAAAATAACCGTTCAAATTAATTGTTGTCATATTTTGTTTCTATCAAATGTTCTATACTGCAAACAAAATGAAATTCAGAAAAAGAAAACTAACTGTGAGTATGCACTTCCCATGGTTTTACTGACTCGGAATATGTTGCTAACTTTACAATGTCTTCATGGCAACTGCAAGAAAAAAAAAAAAAAAACTGCAAAATTGTGATGAAAGGATGTGAGATATAGATAACCGTGTAGAACAGATAAATAAGTTAATATGAAAAAACCGTAACCACAGAAACAAATATTGATCTCATTCATCATATCATTTATATCAAGGTGATGGAGACGATCCTTTGTAAGACTAGCATTTTAAATTTTCTAAACGTCTGATTATGGTAATTTTGGCACTTTTTGTGAGATTTTACAATGCTACTGGGAGAAAATTTTTGTGACATCTCGTTTTTGTGACAAACTCTTGTCATAAGGTTGTAATTTTTCAATCTCAAGTAACAACATAATATTTATGCATCTATTATATATTTAGCTTTTGACTTTTCATTCACCATTTATGTTCACGATGATACAACAGATGGGAAACAGAACAACCGATAACTTACCTGGAAGTGTATGATGAGATGCTTTGTTGCCTACAAAAAGCACATCGCCCCAATAACTGCCTTGAAATGTTGAAGGGAGTTCCTTTCAGACCATTTGCTAATTTCTCACACGACCCTTCCATTGCTAGTGAACTATTGACTAAAATTAGAAAACCTCTTAATCTTAATTATTTAGTTATTGTTTTATAATCTAACATGGAACCTAGCTCAGTTTCATATTTTCTCATTGTTAAATGGTGGATAAATCGAAGAAAATTTCAAGTATTGCAGATAGAATATCTACGTTTCAAATCCTTATAATTTTAAATAAAACTGTTATTTTGCTTTTAAAAGGCATACCTCGCCTTGTAACTGTCGAAAAAGACTGAATAAACAAACTGCAGTTTTCAGAGGATTGTAAACACTGAGCTGCTATAGTTTCCGATCTGCGATAATGAGAACTCGTAAAATTACAACCAAACGATATGTAAGCATCTCTATAGATTATAAAGGTCATAACTTCTAATTGTTTTATAATGAAGGCATTTATGGAAAAAAAATCATAAACATAAAACCTCAGCAAGTAAAGCAATAATAACTAATAAAACAAATAAGAAGCACGGGCATAAACCTCGTATTCAATATTGGAATTCTGCTGTTATGCCTTTTTCCACGAACAGTTCCTCCTTCGTATGAGAAAGGCATTACATATAACGTGTCTGTTTGGTCCATTATCATCCATTTCTTGACGTCGCCATAAATCTGCTGATAACATGAATTCCATATTTGATTTTTAAACTTTGACTGCACAATGCTATCATTTTTGTTAAAATTCAGTCGATTATTTCTGGAACTTCCTGTTACATTCTCGGTCAAATTCTGATGTAGTAAGTTGCTATCGGTAACGATAATATCCGCGAACAATGATGCTTTCTCAAAACCAGTCCTAGTTTTTCTACTCAAGTAGTCAGTACCCTGACTGATTCCAACTACTATTGACAATTTGTCGTGTTGATACGGTATACTCCTAGGGACATTTGGCAAAGATGAATAATGGATAGAACGTTTAGCAACTGTATTCGCGATAATAATAGAAGTTTCTGGGACAACAGTACAGCTTGCAGCATAAGAATCTTTCTGAACAAATGAACTATTAGGAGTTGATAATGACGAATGGCATAAATCAATTTGTGAATATTGCTGACGTAAAAAATTTGAAGCAAATAAATTAAGTGCGAGATGGTTTTGCTGCAATACTTTTTTGAATAACGTTCCCGAATCTACGGTTGGTTGTCTTTCCCTTTTACCAAACCTCCAGTTTTCGGTGTGCAGCTGTTCGAAGTTGTTACCACTCTTCCAAGTGCGCTGCGGGCTCGTACATTTTTTGAATGTGTTAATGATAGTCTGAAAAAAGTGAAAAATTTATTTGATTAGACTTACTACTGATGTTTGTTTTAAAAAACATTCTTTTTGAAGCGATTTGTTGAATAATTGCCCGCATATTCTGTTACTTACAGCGTGCCTCGGTTACGTTTCATTGTCCTTTGAAACGCGATAATCTACCTCAAGTCACTGCCAATATCAGATGTAAATGCAATTATAAAAGGAGCACTGACTTGAAAAATGAAGAATTTCCCGGCATCGACGGACCTGAAACAGGAAACCGGCTGGTTTGATTTGAATCTCGCAGCACTGGAATTCTTGAAATATCAACAATAAAATTCTGTTCCTGTTCTTCGTTATACCGTACGAAATTGGCGGTAGCCTGAAATTTCTGCAAAATCGAAGGAAATGTTCATATTTTTTGCACGAAATAATATGTTTTAAAAATAATATACCTGTAAACCAGCTTCGACTTCGAAAATTTCATACAACTTTGTTCGCCTTTCTAAATTTTCCAACGAAGTGAATGTCAATACATTTTCACCACAAAATCGCAGAATCTATTAAACAACCATTAAATGATGACAATAATAGAAATTACTTCCAAGTGAACATTAGCAATTTTTGAAAAACTAAAATATCAAACAAAGTCACCCCTTCTAGGATCATGGTACCAGCTTCGTTTGCATAATTGGTAGATCTTAGCTGTTCACATTTTAACTGCGTGCTCAACTGTTGGCGCAATCTTGTCAAACACATTCGCTCGTAATCACATATTGGCCGCCTCATGCCAGGTACTGACACCTGTAATGTTAATTGTTTGCCATCATTTATTCAGTATAAACCGAAAAAAAAAAAGGAAAAAAACATACTAACTAATGTACACAATTCATTTTTATCTCAATTTGTATTCGCTTTTTAATTTCTCTAAAAATAAACATCTTTATTAAAACACACTTACGAAATATCCCTACAGAATACATACGGGTGTTTCTTACCGGTCGGTTGCTAATAAGATCTTGGACAATAGAATAATCAATATTAGTCGAAGTATCACTGACGCCTAATCCAGAATCACCGCCACCTGAACGATATAATTCTTCGGATGTAGTGCTCCTGGACCGACTTTGTCCGATTTTTAAAAGTTTCCAAGTACCTACATCCTCATCCCAACATGCTCTTTCACGTAAGCGATCACGAACATCTTGTGGCACGAAATTCTCCACAATCAGCAATCTATATAAGATAATGCTGTTGAAATCACAAATATTTTAAGTGAAACGATCCAATAAACAATAAAGCATGATTAAAGAACATTATTTCATAATATACGGAACGATTCACTGAGACTGCTCACATCATAGCTAAAAAACTTACTTCAGTTTTAGCTCTTTATTAATTTCGGTTACTGAATTTTCCAAATCCTGCCTCTCCTGTGAATGACTTGCAGAGGCGTCACTGATTTCCGAACGAACCTGAATAATTTCATTTTTCAGTTTTGTATTATGTATTATTATAACCTAATTTCATTAAATTTCCAACTTTCACTTTAAAACTTAAACATACTTCCATGTTTGGAGAGAAAAAACATGCCTGTTGGAGCTTGGAATATAATTTTTTTAGTTTCCTTGTTTTTATTTCAACTTCTTGTCTCAAATTACTAAATGTTTCATGTATTTCTGCTGTATTATCTTCTTGTGCTTCCAACTGTTGCAAAATTTCGCGTTCTTTGTTCTTAAATGTACTTTTATAATTCATTACAAGTGTTAAGGAGAAAAATCCAGAAACAATCATATAAATGAAATAATCAAAATTATTTATCAGCCCTTCACAAAGTTATCTTTGAATGAATATTTGAAACCTTTTGTTCAGCTAGTTGTCTTCTTCGCTGCTCCAGCAATTTTTGCTGTTCGCGAGTCTTATCCAACAAACTGTTATCACCAGAAAGAAGTTTACTTTGCATTGCTCGAATCTTCGCAGCTATAGCAGTTTGTGCTTCGCGTTCCCTTTCTAGCTGCTCAACCCTTTCTTCCAGATCGGCAAGTATTTTTCTCTTTTCCTTCAAAAATATCTTTAATTTCGAATAAAAAAATGCAGCTAGGTCATATTGAGCGGTTGCTTACATTCAAGCTGCAAGTAAAATAGCTTACCTCTGCAATAATGTTTGAATTAGAGATGATGGTTTGTCTTTCATCTTCCAAACGCTTCTGCTGTTCATTAAGATATTCTTCACTTGGAATAGCTGTAAAACCATTTCGTTGAGTGTAACTCATCATTAAATACAATAAAGGAGATTTTTATTTTCTTGCCAACCTTCATCATCACTTTCGCTCTTTCCGCCAACACACACCTTTTTTTTTTTTTTAACGGCTCGTTCTTCCAAAATTTCTCGAAGCCTTGTAATCTCATCCTTAATAAAATATGTCGCTATAATAAGAATCAAATGAAGTAAATCAAATTTTGAAATAAAACAAGACCAAAAATAGATAAGAGACTGTAGCTCTGCAATATGACGTTTTCTTGAAGAGCTAGTTCGCATTAATACATAAACATGCAATCTGATACTAAGAGAACTTGAAATTCGCGAAGAAGCGCATCTTTGGGATCCTCGTTGATCCTTGGTTGATTATTGATTTTTTTTGCGCGATTTGCATATCTTAACGTAGACAGTGTTTCTTCATAATTATACGACGCAGGTCCAATATTAGCGACCATTACGGTTCGCGAATTACCGCCTAGTGAATCTGAAGGCTTTGCATATAATTATATGCAAACTTTATTCATAACAAAGGAAGTGACTATTATTAATATAATCAGGAATCTAAAGATGTGACGGAATAAGGCTACTCACATGGTTATACAAATAACTAGGAGGTCCCAAACAACTGCATTCACTGTCACTAACGACTTTGATGATTTTTGTCACGTCAAAACTACTTCAATATATTAAAACAGCTGTATACCTTGTAATAACCGTGTTAGTTTCGAATCTCTGTACGGCACATGAGTACTCTTTCCACCAACCAATGCTGATATAACATTGCCAAGAGCAGAAAGAGACAGGTTGATTTTTGTTGCTTCTTTCAACCGTTCACCATGTGATTCCGTTTTTGACTGACGCTCACTGCCTGCCAAATCTATCAGATTTAATCGTCCGACTCTAGAAAAAGATTTGTTGTATATACAAGTTGCATAAAGCTGCCCATTTTTCCATTCAGGATGCGAAACTGATTTGGTTACCTTATGTGCTTCTGACCATCCAAACCGGGTTCGCTGCACTCGACTGTCACCATGAAAATTGCATGTGAACGACTACTATGTTCGTTCATGTTTGTTCTCCTGAAAATTGAACACTTCAGTTACTGAAGTGTGAACTGATGCAAATAGTTGAACACTTCCTTCCTCATTTTTTGGGAAATAACACTAAAAAGACATCCACTTTTGAAATGATATGCTGACATACTAATAAAAACATGCATTTCACTTTCTTCCAGAAAAAAAAAAGTTCAATACGAACTCGACTGTACGATTTGAATGACCGACTAACATAACGTGCTCAATTTCTTCCACAGATTTTGCTACGAATGATGAAAGACCGTTCACATAAACGCCAATATCTGGACGCTCCCTTAATTCTAAACGTATTTTCGGATCTACACTCAACAAATCGCGAATTTCTTCCTGAAATTAAAAAGAAAGAAAATGAATGATTAAGTATTTCCTATTCAACACATTTTTGACTGCCATTCATACAACTTTTTTAACATAATTTACTAAACAAGCACATGTATATTAAAACTGCTGGCAGGTATCACTTTTTAAATAAACGAAATTGTGTCAGGCAGATCATGCTGTAACAGGCATGCTTCTGGAATCGACATGCCAATTTATTTGTTAAAATGTTTCTGTCAGAAAAACCGAATAATATGTTGGAATAAAACTGTGTTAAATCTGAGGAACTAAAGATTGTTTTAATCAAATATTCCTCAGGCAAATATAAAACTGTTTCGAAAATGTATATGATACAAGCAATCATTCATTATCCAACTGTAGGTGGGTTACTCATGAAATGTTACAGCTGTTAACAAAGAGTATATGCATTACTTAATATGTTGCTCTTTTGTTCTAAACCAAATCTACTTGCAATATCGAAATATCGTAAAGGTTTTCTAATCGTTCTTATGAGCAACTGACATAGTGTTAAGACCCAATTCTTGCCATATAAGAATAAAGGTCATCTGACAGCCCTTTACTCACTGTAATCATGCGTTCGTTGTGAGGCAGTGCCTTTAAATCATTTGTCTTGGTCAGCTTTTTATAAATTATCAATATATTGCCAATATAGATAAATACTTCGTGCAACGTAATTGTTAGAATAACCAGCAAAACCATCCAAACCACCCTAACATATCCTTGCAAGTTCTTAATAACTTCAGCCTTAGAAATCTTGGAAAAAAATAAAGAAAAAAGTCCAAGAAACCTGATAAATTTCTAAATAGCTTGCTCTCACGAGGTACTGTTGATTCCGCGATTGTGCAATATGTTGGAAAATATGGTGATATGCATTCGGTATGACACCACGCAATTCAGGATCCTCATGAACACCTAGACAAGATATGTGTCAGATTACATCCAAACTGGGATAAATAAATATTACATATTTTTTTGTAACATTTGGAACAAAAGTATTCCAACCCTCGTTTAATAAAGCGACGAACTATTTTAATAAATCAGGAATTATCGAGCAAAATCATCGCGCAAGAATTAATTTTTTGTGCGAGACTAAGAATGACGTTGTTCTTTTATTTATATTATGCAATATTACGCATATTTTGTTTGAACGTAGGATACTGACTAAGCAATTTAATATTTTGATAAGAAAAAACTTCCGTAGAATATCGAATTAGTATCCCTTTCTTAATTCACCACTCTTCAAGGTGACTTGACATGTTACCAGAATATTCCAGAAGTCCGTTTCAATTAATAATAGTTACGTTGCAATAAAGAAATGTGAAATAAAAAAAAGTCCAACCTTCCATTGTGAATGTTTTCCCTGTTCCTGTCTGACCATATGCAAAAATCGTTCCATTGAATCCTTCAAGCACAGAATCGACAAGATGGCGAAATGTTTCATCGTAAAGATCGAGTTGTTTAGATCTTAAAAATATAAAAAAGTAATATCTCATTACGTGCAATTTCTGTGACTTGGAAAGTACAAATCCATATTTTCATTTTCGATCTTAATATTTCTCGTTCACAAATTTATGAGACGAATTGCATCCAGTACAAGGACTTGTATTATGAAATTTTCATAAGTGCTTACTGTGGATCATAAACTGAATCAAATGTGAATATTTTCGAAGGTTCATTTGGTTCTTTTGGATTGTATAATTCAATTACACCACGATTTGTTTGAATATCAACAATACTAAAATTAAAGTAGATGAAGTACTAAAAGCAAAAGTAACCAGCTAGTGAAAACAGATAAGCATTAGAAGTAGGAAGAACTGATGTGGGAGAGATGTTTAAAAACAAAAATAAACATGAATGTATTTCAACTACTCGTCAAGGATATAGAAGATAACAGTAAATTAGTTTGTATTTCAAACTAGTAAGTATTTACTTTTGATAACCATCAGATATTTCAGAAGCCGATAACGGACGACAACGGATAATCACCTTGACTGCTTCTGATTTTTCAGTTGCAGGACGTGGTCTGGATGGTGCGGACACCATAACCGCCTAAAAATCTCTAAACTTTGGATTTGGCTAGAATAAATTAATACAGTGATAACGACTTGCAATATGAATGATAAGTCCACTTTAAGATACGCTGACTTTTCAGCACCAAAAAGGTCAATTAGCGATTTTTATGCAACGTAAGAAACAAGGCTATGCAAAAAGCAGAACATATCTAACTTCATTTACATTCAAATAAGAAAGAATTCAAATATAGATCACGAAAAAAAAAAATGCTTTTTTAAAGAAGATGAACTACTTAAATTAGTTCCCGCTCCTCCAACGGAGACAGGAAAAAGTAAAATTCCTTTGTTGTGCCGGTTAGGCCACTATTGCCATGGAAACTTTTCAATACATAGCTTCCTATCAAGCTTGATACCTTCCTCCTCCTCTCTCAATTTTCCAGTTAACTTCAAAGCCAACTAACGTTATATTATCTTTATTGCCTTTATAGAACACCACAACATGAAAATGAATTCTCGACCAAATCAGCTGCAAACTCTAAAACAAAATTCGATTTTTCACAAAACCTTTTTTTAGGATCTCTTTTTGAGGAAAATATTAAACTTTAAAGATATTTTTAAGTTTATGGAGAATATATTACTATAGATATTTCTTTTATTTTAAAAGCTTTTTCTACTATTGCTCATTATATCCAGATAAATTTTAGCTTTATATAAGCTCCCTCCCTACTTTAACTCATTTCAACGAAATCAATAGAAAATTCTATTTGCTTCAATGCTTTTTAAACCTTTTTTTCAAAATTCCATAGCGCGAACAAATGTCTACCAATAACTCCATCAATACTATATTAATAAACCTATCGATAAGTTCAAAATTTCGAGTTTTTCAAACATTTCGAATGTTCCAAAACAGACTTCAAAATGAAGCCAATTCAGTCAGGCTGCCGCTATGGACGAGAGCATCCTATCGATGCAACTGCAATTGTCATCAGTCATTATACACATTATAATTATTTCAGAAGGAGTAGAAAGAACTTCCATCCCATCAATGCCGTTGTACTTAACATTTCAATAAGTAATAAATACAAGAAAAACACCAAAAAAAATGACATCTATGCATGATGAAAGCGAGAGTTGAAAATGAGGTCAAAGGCTTAAAACAGATATAAATATAACGTGTTTGATGTGTTTGGTTATATGCTGATATTTCTAATAAATGTACCAGAAATTTTTGACTTGCTTTAAATGCATTGTTACAAACGATGATCACCTCATATTTCATATTCAATTGAATCAGTGAGTTAATTAAAAAAAAATTTCTCCTGCTCCGAAGTACGTGGTGCTAGTGATTTATTATATTCGTGCATTCTCTCGGTATTTAATTATATCTATTATATTCTCGATATTTAATTGTTTCATAAGAAATATTTAATTGTTTCATTTCGTAATTCCTACTACTTTGCATATTTTAATATTATAATACTAAGTGCGCTTTTGCACTATGAAGTAAACAAGTACCTTAGAAAGCAAGTAAAATTAATTGTGGTAAAGGTCGATCCTCATATTCTGATTTTTTACTAAAATCTAGGTGGAAATAACATATATATGGGCGATTTGTAATGAACATATCGAACTGGCATTCATTTATGCAGGGAATAAATGGTCCAGGAGACAAGACTTCATTTGGGTTATCCGACACATTTATTTACATTGCATATTTCAGTGGACTGCCAATTCAGTCTATGAATCAGAGTAAGTGTTTGAAATCTTCAAACCCATGTTTTTAGGAATTAAAGAAACTTTTCTAAATGATATAATATATTAATATAAGGAAAAAAGAAAACAGAATTTTTGAAATCAGTACTTAAATGATACACTAAAAGACAGCGTAGGAAAAATAAAAGCGAAATAAAAAGGGGAAATAATAGCGACCAAATATATATCGTTCGGTCCAGCAGGTAAGAGCGAACAAGAACATATTCTTAGTGAATGATCACTTCCATTTTAATGATATCTATTCAGTATATTATTATTCAAAAAAATTTTTAAGCTGGTAACAGACAGCCCAATTTTTCCGAATTTAACGAAATGACGAAAGTTTCATAAAATTAATTAGTAATCACGAATTTTTATTATGGTGAAAATGAAGAATTTGATTGAAGCAAAGGACTGAAACATAGTTGTATAGGCTAACATGGACTGTCGGAAAGACTAAAAAGCACTATTAAATAGAGACTTAGGAAGCCAGCAGAAGCACTTCACCTTTGGAGCATTCAGTGATGTTAATATCTACAATGAGTATCATGTATTCTAAAATATCATAGATTCAACATTTTATGAATTAGGTACAAGATTAAGTAACTGCGCTTAAGTATGGAAAGTGGGAAATGAATTGCAGATAGAGCAGAATAGATGAGGTATACGTTTATTGAATGATAGCACCGCACCATCTATTGACCTTACGTTACACAGCTGTGGTGACCATGAGAGGCAAGAGGCGGAGTAGAAACAGTGGCTAAAGCGCAGCTTCACTTCCAGAAGTAATATTGGAGGATAAAGAATCGATATGCACATGCCTCAATGCTGAAAATGAATGGTTTTGGAACTGCACAGCTTTAGTTTATCTTTAAATAACAGTTAATATGAATAGAGTGCAAAGTAAAATCTCTTCGAAGCTTTAAAATTCGTAACGCTCTAAACTATGACACTTCTCTTCAGATGTGTCAATAAACTGAATAAGGAGTGGTGAACTACTTGTTAGATGAAATTCAAAACTTTTCAAACCGAACTTTGACCTATGATGAGACACATTTCGACAGTTCTGTAACTACGCACCGATAATAGCTAAGCGTCACTCTTCGACAACATTAATTGCTTAATTATCTGTTTTAATCCAGCCCTTCTTAAAAATCATTTGGAATAAATCCGGTACTTTTTTGTTTCATTTTATGGTTTGTATCTATTTGGATGTCCCTTAACCAGAAAATAAATAAGTGTAAAAATTCATGCCATTTTAATGGTGATCCACTGTAGAGAAAACAACAGTGGCCTCACGAGAAGTAACAACAAATTTGAATTTTTTGAAAATTTGAGACCTATAAGTTTTCAGACTTTATAATTCCTACTGGAACAAAACCATTATTCTGTTCATATCTGGCATAAAATTATATTTGATACAAGCAAATTAAGAAACGTAAAAGCAAAAAACGATTTCTTGTTAGTTAATTAATTGTAAATTTCATCTTTCCATTATGCATAATCACATAGATAGGACAAAATTTAGCATGGACTGAAAGAAAAATATTAATAAGTATTTTGGCTTCCAAAAGGTATTTGACAAATGTTGGTTTTTGGAAGATAAGAAATAAAAGAGCCGAAGATTCGAGTGTCCATAATATTTTAATCTAGTCTGAGCTTGATAAGAGATTAAAATATATCATAATGGTGAGAAAAGTGCATGAAGAAATGGAAGCAGAATGGGGAATATATTTATAAGAAGCATTCATCCATTTCCTTTAATCATCTTAGAGTTAATTAATACATGTTACGAATATTTTCTTCTTCACTTAGAAGTTTTTGTTGCTTCTCTCTGATGCAAAGCAAACGGATAAACACTACAATGAAAGACGAATAGAGTTATAATAGATACAAGCAAGCATATGATGCATCTGCATACCCTTTATAAACGTCTAATTTTATGCATGATGTTTACAAGCACTTTTTAAACAGATTCAATTGCAAGGCCAGTCGATTTTGTTTATTTGATCATTTATTTTATCTTATTTGATTCAAAGTAACTTTGTAATTTTCACTCCAGCAAGTATTTTGAAATCCTTTTCTCGCATCTGCACTTTGCTGATTCAATTACTTTCTAGTCTCTATTCATCCATCAACGTTCAACAAAAGCTAATTAAATTAAGATTATTATGCTTTCTAGAAAACAAAGACTATTGATTCAAATATCTGACAAAGATTAATGAAGGAACCAAATTTGCTGCTGAAATATGGTGATGTTAACGAAAAGGTTGAATAAAATTGAATAAGTATGACTAAATTTTCAAAACGATTTTCTGAATTAAACGAACCCGAACACTAGGTTCTAAAATTCCGAAAAGTCCTTTAGCATTATGTTTGATTCATCACTTGCCAAATTTTTACAGTTTTTTGAATATTAGAAATAATCTATTAGAAATAATATTTTGCTGAAATTGACACTACTACTGGGAAAGGAGATTTATGTCTGAGCAAATCTACTATTTGAAATATATTCTAATATTTTCAATTTTATACCAAAAATTGCTTCTGGTTATTGGAATTTGGATTCCTTGATAACTGGGCGATTGGGTTATTCGCTGGTCGTAATGATTAACATTTTTGAAAAATTGAAAAATCATAGATTATAAAAAGAAATAGCTTATAATTGCAGTAAGAAATACCTCATAATTGCAGAAAAGCTATCTCTACATGGTAATCTATAATTGCAATTTTTTGTTTAATTTAATTTTACTTTTAGTGTCAATTTCATTGACGTTTCCCAAATTAATTTAAGTCATTGATGTAAGCTTAAATTCCTGTTGTTTGGGATGATAAATCACACTTAATATTTCAGTACATTATGTTGCATGCTCGAACAAAATTAAATAGATCAGTTTACCACCACTAAAAAAGTAAAAACTCATGTCGATTAAAGTTAATATGACATTCAAAATTTGGGAGAATGTAGACTAAAAATTCGTTAACACCGCTATATAATAGGACAAACAACAAAGCCTCAGAACTTTGCTGCCCCAGAATGAACCTGAATAAACGACCAAACATAACAACCTTCCGACTTATACATTTCTAATAATTTAAACATTTAAAACTTCGAAACATTTTCTCTAATGAACTTGAGTTCTTGGAAGATTTGATTCTAGATTTGCTTCTTATCTAGGATCAAACTGCATTGAACACAAATCACTAAATGTGAAGAATACAGGGAATCTTCTTCAACTGTAGCAGTCAGCTATTACGTGTTACCCGTCAGCTGAACTG